TTGATTTGGTCAAGTAATCGGAAGGTTTGCCTCAAACTTGTGAAATCAAAATATGATTCGGGTGTACTTGAATAAGGCCATGATGTGGCTTTTAAAATGTTTTTTAAAATTATTTTTAATGAAGGTTTTACACTTTTTTTTTTTCTTTTTTTCAAGACCAAAGAAGGAAGCAGTCGACTGAGGCAATTCTAGTAGTGAAAACACAGCATTGTATTCATGAATTGACCACATGTCTACAAATGTGTGTGAGAGATATACAGTGGGGCAAAAAAGTATTTAGTCAGCCACCGATTGTGCAAGTTCCCCCACTTAAAATGATGACAGAGGTCAGTAATTTGCACCAGAGGTACACTTCAACTGTGAGAGACAGAATGTGGAAAAAAAATCCATGAATCCACATGGTAGGATTTGTAAAGAATTTATTCGTAAATCAGGGTGGAAAATAAGTATTTGGTCACCTCAAACAAGGAAAATCTCTGGCTCTCACAGACCTGTAACGTCTTCTGTAAGAAGCTTTTCTGTCCCCCACTCGTTACCTGTATGAATGGCACCTGTTTGAACTCATCATCTGTATAAAAGACACCTGTCCACAGCCTCAAACAGTCAGACTCCAAACTCCGCCATGGCCAAGACCAAAGAGCTTTCGAAGGACACCAGGAAAAGTATTGTAGACCTGCACCAGACTGGGAAGAGTGAATCTACAATAGGCAAGCAGCTTGGTGTGAAAAAATCAACTGTGGGAGCAATCATCAGAAAATGGAAGACATACAAGACCACTGATAATCTCCCTCGATCTGGGGCTCCACGCAAGATCTCATCCCGTGGGGTCAAAATGATCATGAGAACGGTGAGCAAAGATCCCAGAACCACACGGGGGGACCTGGTGAATGACCTGCAGAGAGCTGGGACCAAAGTAACAAAGGTCACCATCAGTAACACACTACAACGGCAGGGAATCAAATCCCGCAGTGCCAGACGTGTTCCGCTGCTGAAGCCAGTGCATGTCCAGGCCCGTCTGAAGTTTGCCAGAGAGCACATGGATGATACAGCAGAGGATTGGGAGAATGTCATGTGGTCAGATGAAACCAAAGTAGAACTTTTTGGTATAAACTCAACTCGTCGTGTTTGGAGGAAGAAGAATACTGAGTTGCATCCCAAGAACACCATACCTACTGTGAAGCATGGGGGTGGAAACATCATGCTATGGGGCTGTTTTTCTGCCAAGGGGACAGGACGACTGATCCGTGTTAAGGACAGAATGAATGGGGCCATGTATCGTGAGATTTTGAGCCAAAACCTCCTTCCATCAGTGAGAACTTTGAAGATGAAACGAGGCTGGGTCTTCCAACATGACAATGATCCAAAACACACCGCCCGGGCAACAAAGGAGTGGCTCCGTAAGAAGCATTTGAAAGTCCTGGAGTGGCCTAGCCAGTCTCCAGACCTCAACCCCATAGAAAATCTGTGGCGGGAGTTGAAAGTCCGTGTTGCTCGGCGACAGCCCCAAAACATCACTGCTCTCGAGAAGATCTGCATGGAGGAATGGGCCAAAATACCAGCTACTGTGTGTGCAAACCTGGTAAAGACCTATAGTAAACGTTTGACCTCTGTTATTGCCAACAAAGGTTATGTTACAAAGTATTGAGTTGTATTTTTGTTATTGACCAAATACTTATTTTCCACCCTGATTTACCAATAAATTCTTTACAAATCCTACCATGTGGATTCATGGATTTTTTTTTTTTTCACATTCTGTCTCTCACAGTTGAAGTGTACCTCTGGTGCAAATTACTGACCTCTGTCATCATTTTAGGTGGGGGAACTTGCACAATCGGTGGCTGACTAAATACTTTTTTGCCCCACTGTACAAGGCTCTAGAGTGCAACCAATTTGGTCGCACATGCGTCCTAATTTCTCAATGGTCCAACTTTAAAAAAAAAAAAAGTTGAGTAGCTTAGGCCCAGTAGAAGTGGATGTAGCTGTGGGCAATGAGGAAAAAATGAAAAGAACGATTGATAACTTTCCTGTCTAACACTAGTCCTGAGATGGCATCAGATAATTAGCCACATACAATCAACTGAGCCAGAGCCCGCTGATAGTAAAATGGGGAAAGTGTATAAATTTCAAAGCTGGCAACATGATCCAGTGCATTTTCTGTCGTGACTGTGGAAAGACCATGGCTGGCAATACTGCATTTGGAGTTGACCATCTGAGGGGCATGTGACTGCAATGGAAGATAGTCCATAATATATCAAGCTGTTCAGTTTGAAGCCTTTGAGGCACTTTTTAATTTAGATTTTCATTTTATTTAAAATATCTTGAAATTTAAATTTCAGCTCAGTGCAGCACTTTAAGCACAAGCACTTTCTCAGTAACTTATCTTTCTTGTAGAACTGTTCCAAATAAAGAACTTTGTGTTGACAAGATTGATTGTTGGTTAATAATTTACAAATCAAACAATCAATCTTGTCAACACAAAGTTCTTTATTTGGAAACCACTTGTCCCATTTTGTGATATAAGTATTAGCTTGTAACCTTAACAAAAGGTAAAAATTTTCAATTCCATGGATCTCCTCAACAACCTTTCCTTGTTTTCTATTTGCATTTCCAGAGTACTTGAGGTATGACGTACCTGAAGACTTGATTCCTCTAAGTAAACTTGCTTTACCTGGACTTGCCTGTTTCTCACAAGTACCTGATATGTGTGAGGATGACTTTGAAGAGCTGGCACCACTCCCAAACCCACCAGCTGTGACTGTGAAACATTCAGGTATCAACTTTTGGTCAGGGGCAAAGAACCCTATTTCAAGCACCTGGTTTGATTCAAAGAACCACTGCAGTGGTTAATAATAAACATGCATTACTATGGGAACTCAAGTTTATGGTGATTTTAAAAATCAGAATATTGCTGCACTCTAACAAAGCAGCTTTGTAAGGTTTAGTTCACCTAAATGAGTCAGTCTCCTAGCTTCCTTTATTTATTTTAGATAAGTCTGCTGGCTGCAGAGCAACTGATTTTGCAGGGAAAGATAAAACTGAAGTGGGGGGGGAGATTAAGCGCACAATACAGGTGTGAGAGAAGCATGGCACAATAGCGCATTATAAACCCTGAATGTATTAAGCACTTCTGGTCAGTAATCCCGGATTTGGTCTACTGCAGGAAATCTGTCATAACTTGCGACATAACCGGAAACGCCTTTCAACCACACACCGTAGCCTCCAACATAATTTGGTCATTGCAGGTTAGGTCAGCCTGAGGTGTAGTTGCATTTCTCGGGAGGTGTACATCAGGTTACGTAAAAGGCTATGATGTAGGCTTAAAAGGGGTTTGTGGTCAAATCATAAGTAACAACGTGGATTTCCTGCAGTAGTCTAAATTGGACAAGACTGAAATGACTGCTTTATTACAGCCAGGAAGGAAAGGTGAGAATAATAAATGCCAGTTAAGACAAACGGTATCACAGCTGTCTTTAAGGCATAGCAGAATTTAACAGACTGCAACTGGTTTTTTTTATTAAATTAATGTTTAGATGTGCACGAGATGGCTTTTTAGTCTCTGTGGCAGCTCTGGTGTTGAACAGTCTGAAAAGATGAATGGAAGTAAGAAGTGAATTAGATTAAAATTAGGTGTCCTTTTCTTAGCTCACTGTTTATAGAACAATGAAATGGTTTTTATTGGCCAAAGGGAAACTGGTAACTGAGGAATAAATTTAAATCTTAGAACCTGTGACAAATGCAGATTCTTATCACAGGTCTAAGGTGTCTTCCAGGAATGGTGATGACTTTCCAGAGAATTTGCTACAGACTTAACCTGCTCTACAGCATAAGTTACCATGGTGACATAACACAGAAAACTCTGGAAGTTTGAAGTTGCCTGTATAAGCTCAAATCATGCCTTAGGGAACAGGGCTGGGCTCTGTGTAGTACAAGGGGCCCAACGAGGAAAGAAATGTGGCTGTACAGTTCATTTTCACTTCACATAATGCTGGAGATGCACTGGTGGTTTTTACACTTGAATACATTTTGCCTCTTACCTGTGCAAAATTGAAGACTTGAACCAAATACCAGCCTCAGACATAAACGCTACTGTCAGCAGTATTGCCCAACATAAAATTAGGGCAATGATATTAGTGCATTCCTAAGCTATGATTCAGGAGCCTTTGGGAAATACGACTAATACACTTTCTTCAGTGTCACCCCTGGGCTCTCTTGTCCGTCACTCTAAAACAAACAGTTTTCCCAGAGCTTTAATTCCTATCAGCCCAAAATCATCTCATCATGTTGGTTCTGTCTTGCAGTATGGCGTACCCTGTGATGGCTGTTAACTGCAAGAGTAAAAACAAATTTAAATTCTGTTCCATCGGAGCAAATTAAATCTTCCCAACTCTGACAAGTGCACCTAGTGTCAAGAAACCTCGCCTCAAAAACGGTTAAAACTACACACAAGCGCAAAAGTGACAGCTGCCACTATAAACAGACTCTGGAATGAGACATTACAAACATGGCATTTATGTGGCCCTCAATTTGACACTCTACTTTCTCAATTTCTCAACCTCTGCTCTAATGGATTAGATGTACAATTTAGGACTTTGGGATTTATAAATGGTATGCAGCCCTCAAATAAAACCACTTTTATCAAGCAACTGTAATTGTATCTTTGCATCTGAAGTGCAAGTTTGAATCTCCTGGAATAATTAACTACAGGTATCATTAACCTTCTGTATGATTAAATTCCCCGTATCTCTCTTCAGATTGCCGTGTGGAGCTGGATGCCTTTCTGCAGACGCTCGAGGAGCTAACAGTGGAGCTTCCTCCAGAACCTGATACTGATTAAAGTTGTGTTTTTTGTCTGCTTTTAATTGAAATAAAGTTGTTTTTTAAATCGTGCATGGTGTGTTTTATGTGCTGGAGCTCCACTTTATAATTGGTGACTGGCCATGAAAGTATCAGGAAAGAATGCCCTATATTACTTCCTGCTTTTAAAGTCCATCAGTGGTCATGTGAGGGTTTCCCGCTATTGGGAGATGAGTGGACTTTGTCTCGGTTCCTCTTGCAAGACTAAGAATAATCTGCGTCACGTAACTTTTTGGGGGATGAACGGTTAAAATTACTCGTGACGTGTTACGTGATTTTTAGATCACCTATTGGGTGGCACACCTGAAGAGTCGGTGTGTGCGGTTTGAGTGCAGAACAGGTGAGTGGCAGCCGTTTTACACGGAAACTTAAGCGTAGGTTTGGCTTCTTAACATGGCAAAATGAGGAACTTCTGTGTTCGCCAATAATCGCGTTAGCTGAAATGTTTTTAAAGAGCTTTTTCCTCCCTTACACAGGGGACCGAGTCCAGTCAAGCGGAGGAAATGGTTTCATGTTTATAATTTGACATATCTTCGGGTGTTGTCTAAATAAAAAGGAAGTAGCCTTGCGCTCTGCAGAAGAATTCAGACATGCTTGGGCGCAGCTCGGATGAAGCTGTGTCTGAACCAGCTGTCAGCAATACCGACGCCCACGGCGGCAGGGGGTCTAAAAAGGGCACCGTTGTGGAGCGAGTGTCCAGATACGGCATGCAGGTCATGCCCATGCCAGTGCCCGGGGGTTTCCAGCGTAGGACGAGGCTGCAGAGGCAGCAAGAAGTCTGTGACAGCGCCGCTCCGGAGAGGGAGTCGATCACACCCGCTATGCGTAAAAAGTACCTGAAGGAGCTGCTTCTGGGGAACTCGTCCAACAGCGGGTTTAGCAGCGTGCTGTCCTCGCAGAATTACAGCCGCTCCGGCGAGGAGGACACGGATTGGGCTTTGTATCCGATGGAGCACGCGTGGATGCTCTCAGCGGTGGAGGGCAGCTATGAAATCATCATGGATTTTATCTCAGAGGACCCCCAGCTATTAACCAGGAAGGATTTCATCAGCGGCTACTCGGTCCTGCATTGGCTGGCCAAGAGGGGACAGGACGAGACTCTGATCAAACTTTTGCGCTACGCACAAAGCGAGGGCATCCCCGTGAACGTGAACCTGAAGGGCAGCGGTGGGCTCACGCCTCTGCACCTCGCCAGCATGCACAGTCAGTACATGGTCATCAAGCTGCTGGTCGGAGCTTTCAATGCCAACGTGGACGCAATGGACTACAACGGAAAGAGGCCCTGGCAGTATCTGAGGGAAAACGCCCCGCCGGAGATGAAGGAGCTGCTGGGGGCCTGGGATGAAGAGCACAGCTGGGGATGCACGCAAAACGTCAACAAGAACGGCAACAACAACTGCGCTGGCGCAGTGAACTTGACCGCATGTGAAGAGGACGATGCTATGGAGGCAGAGGAAGTGAAGCACTTTGACCGGACTAAGAGGAGAAGCGGCTGGAGGCTTGGGTCTCTAAAAAAGCTGCTGCCCTCCTTTCCTCCTTTGCTTGGAAGCAAAACATGAGTGGGGGATGACACATACTTTCCAATATGTGCATCATCACTCCACTATTTTTATGTTAGTTTCAGAAGGGGGGGTCGTGAAGACAGTGAAAGGCTAGTTTGTAGGCAATGATGACTATTCAAGCGGTAAAGATCAAGCTAAATGTTAAGGCAGCAAGAATGTGCAGTTTTTCAAGTATGCTTTCCAGAAACAAAATACCCATTTATATTGGTGGATGTGCTTCACTCATCCAAGACCAGCAGTGTTTACATGATGACTGATTTCTAAACAAATTTCAGTAAAATAGCCAAACTTTAAAGTGTTACTTTGTCTTTCATAAGCTGCTTTTAATGGACTTTTTCTGCTTCCTGCCCAGACTCATTTGCGCTACTTATGTCAACTCCAATATTAGTAATTGGCTGTGTAGGAGCTTTCCCTGCAGTGTAGGAGCTCTGAAATCATTTTTTCTAGTTAATCCTGCTGCTTATTGAGGCTTCCTTTAATACCTCTGGTATTTATTCCAAAGACTACAAAGTCAGAAGTCAAATTCACACTAAACAGCAAGTGAACAGTTTTCCATGAAACTGTGATGCAGAAGTGTTAGCTGTGTGGTCAAACACAAACCCCCTTTCAGTCCAAGTGCTTCTTTTTGCAGAGCTGTGTCAGCATGGCAGCTTCTACATATTTGATTTTCCTGAGAAAAGTAAACACTTTGCGGGAGAGAAAAAGACGCCACTCAAGCATTTCACGTTTGATCGATGATCTTTTATTGTCAAACATGAGTATAACCAGAGTATCTGTACAAAATGATTCCTGCTCCAGATAACATGGCTTGTCCCCTGCAGTCAGTCCATCAGCTGGAGTTCCTGGCGCATGTTGTGATGCTGGGATCCACAGAGCCTCATGTTTACAGGCCAAGCTTGGTCCTCCTCCAGTGTCTCCTCTTGGAGTTGTACCTAAAATGAAAGAACAAAAAATAAATCCGTCAGGAGGAAAACACTGAGATTCTGATGTTGGCAAACTATTAAACTGTCACGCTGTCAAACCCTGAGTGGAAAGAATTAAAATCTCTCTGTACAAAAACATAAAAGGCTAATATTATCTCTGTTGATGATGGTTTTACTTGGTGTCAAACTGCAAATAAACTGAATTTTTTGGGGGAGCTTATTATAGCAGGAAAAACAAACACCAGTGTAGCTAATAAATGTGATTTTAGTACAACCTGCCACCGTGGAACACTTAATGGATTACTAAATGCACCTAACCATGTGCTCTTCCTAATAAATGTATACCTTTAAAGAGATTTATTTTGGTAAGTTCATTTATGTGTGTGCAAAATGAGAGTATGCAAGTTTTCACAAAAGTCAAACTCACAGACAGACAGTATAAAACGTGGAAAAATGCTTCAGGTACTGAAAAGTGAAGCTAAGTACCTTAAACCTGCAATCCTTTAAATGACCACAAGGGGAGTACTTTTCTGCTCACAAGAAGACTAAAGGTCTTTTTCAAACTCGAGACAAACGTCTGTGACCTCAGTAAAGCCTTGCAAGATTACGTTTTGGGCTCAACAAGCAGTTTCAGATCATATTAAAAGTTCATTATTTGTGGTCTTCTTCTTTCTTTTTTTTGAAGTCAAAGGAGGATCATCCAATGTTCATTGAGCAAGGATTAGTCCATCACAAATCATTGGGTAATGAGAACATAGTCTCCCATGGTATCAGATCTCTTGCATCACATGAGCTTTCAAAACACTAAGATGGTTTTACAACAATTTAAGTGGTCAAAACCATGTAAATAGTAGCTTTAACAGTCTCTATTGAGTGGTGAGAGCTTCCTTAATAATGCTCCACACCAAGGAAATATTCAAATGAATCGTTGGTTCACGGGTTCAGAGTATGCAAAGTTGTTTGATGTGCGTCTAGTTTCAGATTCTCCAGCACAGCACGTACATTGTGTATTCTTCAGTGTGATAAATATTATAAATCAATACAAAGCCCTATAGTGATTTAGTGAATTTAAATTCCCCTTTGAAGAGATAATTAGAAATAAGGTCACTTTTTACAGGCACTAAATCACTGCAGTATTCATGGCAATCATGGCATCCACAGAGTTTATACAAGATGACGGAGCCAAAGAACAGCAGATCGGTCATTAGTGTTCGGCTACAGAGTTTCCTCATCACTGGCACAGCAAGTGAGAGAACAAGCTCTGCAGCAGAAACATGCTCTCAGCAGGGTTAATGACAGCACTCCACTGTAACTAAGTGCTGCAATTGCAGACCTGCTTTACATGAGATGATGTTCCTCCCTGCAATTACACTCAGGTGCGTCAGCACTTCCTGATAACACGTGCAGCTCAGCAATGAAACTGAATGTTGACAGCCCATTTAAACAGACACTCAGCTTCACTAAGATTTGAGCCATCTGTGAACCACCTAATCGCAACGCTGACATCACAAAAACCTGAAATTATGGAGTTCTTTTCAAAGTAATCTATCCTCCCTGCAGTACTCTTAACAACCCGCACGGTGGAATTACTGATTTACACCTTTAAGGAAATTTCATGAGCACAAATATTTTCGACACCAAATTTACAAGTTAAATTCAAAACCACTACAATAAGGGGAAAAAGAGGCTTAAAGAGGCTTAAAGGCATCACCGATGATATACACTGTGCTAGAAATATTAGGAATACAGTAGGGCTGTATTCTGTGAATCTCGGGCAGCTCGACTTGTGTGAAGTGTTTCCAGCTGCGCGTCATGTAGCTGGAGTCGAGTGTTTTAACCGATGCATGAAACGATACATTTTTAGACATAAGTTGTAACGGCGCCGTTTTCTTAGTGAGTATTTATTACACGGCGTGCTGCGGGGAAAAGCCTGTTCTAACGTTTGAGTCTAAGCTTTATTTTTTAGCACCTGACCGCTCTTTTTTTGCTTCTCATCTGTAAAAACTCTGCATACTCTTTTACGTGATTTGGTTTATTTTGAAAAGTCAACAGGATCTTGAGCTTTATTGTGAAAGGTTTATCCGTAGTGTGGTTATATTAAATATAAGAGAAAGAGAGAACTTTAAGAAATGAATATAGTCACTACAGTGACCATCAGAACCATGAAAAAATACTGTTGTAAACAGTTTATTTTGCGACACCACGAAACAAACGATAGCGTAAAATGAAACGATAGACGTTTTTACATCGTCATCCAATATATATCGTTATATCGAACAGCCCTAGAATACAGTGTGATATCAAAGTTCACCAACAACATCAGCTACATCACTTACTGCTGCACCAGCTACAGCAGCCTCAACGGGGTCATTATAAGCTTCAAAGATACATTCATTTTACAATGGCTGCAATATGCATTAAAATGCTACAATAAAATTAATCTAGCATTGAACGGGACTTAAGTGAATTATCATTATTTATTTATTTACAGAATATTAAATATATTCATACACTTCTACTTTTTCCACAGCAAAACTAAATGATTTATTTAAAGTTTATTATTAACTAGAAACTTTCTCTCCTTAAACGGCAATGAGGCCGCACTTCATGCAAGAGTATTCAAATCTCTCCTCTCCCCTTGCCTGCCTTATGACTGGATTACAGAGAACTGATGAATTCACAAATGGAAAATAAAGGAAGCAGGGATGTGCAGGACACAACAATCAAATGATTACATTGACTGAGAAAGCTGTTGATGTGGACAGCAAAGAGTCCTAAAAAAGGTATAAAACCTAAAAAGTGACTGGCCCTTTTCCCATTAGTACCTACTCTTATCAGGGTGACTCGTTTTCCATTACAGCACCACCTAATATGTGTGGGGTTGTTTGCTTTTTCAGATCGCTTGGACCCTGGCGAAGTACGTATTGAAAAAGTACCTGCTATCAGGTACTATGACCCAATGGAAAACCCTGAAAACCAGCTGACCATTAGAATAGGTTCTAATGGACCTGATGTTACTTAAACGTTCTTTCAATCTGGTCTGACCGATTCTGAGTTGGGAACAAATAAGCATGTTTATGGGTGAGAAGGATGAGGCAGAGGATTCCAGTGGTGGGGGAGACATGATGAAAATAAATATACTAATCTTAAATGGTCATATGGAGCTTGGAAAAAAATGTTTGAAACTAGACACTTTGCAGCTTTTTGTTGAAAAAAACAACAACCCATCTTTCCCTTTTCTGTCTTGGTTCTCATAAGCCTGCAGCACTGAACAGAGGTGGATTACATGACTACAATAACGTGTACAAATGTGGGAACCCGTATACCGTCAGCTCTCGGCCTTACAAGATGCACAGGGCAGGTAAAATCAGTCATGGTAAGCTCACCTGATCTTGTTGCCGGTCTTCATTCTGATCCACTGAGGAATCGGCCTGTTCTGTTTCTGCTTCTTGGCGAGGAAGCGCTTGATTCTGAAAGTCTTGTGGGACGACTGGAAGACGTAAAAGACACCGTATTAGCACAATCGTTTAAAACACCAAGTATATACATCTTTAACCAAATGCTTCTGGTTTAAAACTAATTTTTTTTAAAGCTTTCAGTGCTAAAATAAACAAGCTGGCCGCTAGCATGCGCAGAACCACCGTACCGGCTAGCATCACTGAGCACTTTTAATATGCTCCATCTCATTTTTTTCGTATAACATACACATTGTTATCATGACAATAATTTTAGTTTTAAATGCTTAAGGTTTCGGGGAACTTTAATAAGCCATGCTAGCTCGGATGTTTGTAGATTTTCTATTTACCATTTTGTCCACAGTCCTTTCCCCACTATGGCGGTGGTCGAAAAGAACGAGAGAAGTGACGCCACGGCTTTTTGACCAATAAGCGTCCAAAAAACTGTTCCACGTCCTACAAACAGCGACACCAATGTGTCATTAGAGGAAGTACATGTCATAGTTTTAACGGTTTGCCTTTCATTCAAGAGATAGTTCACACAGAGCCGGAGCCTTGAACTAAAAAACAGGATAACTGACTTCAGTTTTTTTTTTAGTTTTACCCGGTAGTCACTTCACACCAATATGGTCACAATAACTGAAAGATTTCTAGATTTTTCAGAGCATCTAAAGCATCGAAAGTCTTTGAGCACCATAGCTGAATTGATCAAGAAACACAAAATCACAGGAGTTAATGTATTTCTGATATACTTTCCAGTTTTTAACTTTTTTTCCTATAAAATCTCAATATATGATTTTAAAGCAGAGTACCTGCTTTAAAATTCTAAAGTCTAGGTTTTAGTCATTACTTCTTCTTCTTCTTCTTTCATATGGTCTCTGTAGGGGTTGCCATAGTAGCTCATCTGCTTCCGTCTCATCTTATTCCTAGCATACTCCTCAGCAGGCCAGGCCTCCTCAGAAACTGAACTTCTAACAGGAGTACACTGGAATCCATCCTGATAAATGGTGAACCAGCGTGGTATGTCATCTGCACTCCTGAAAGATCTTCACCAAGTGGTGAAAATGGCAAAGCACATTGTTGAGATGAAGCTCCCACATCTGGACTCAATCTGTGCCATCATCATGGAGAGAAAAGGCAAGCAGACAGTATCACTAAGGACAGTACACACCCCATTCTGTGGTTGAATCTCTGCCACCTGGCCAGCTCTTCAGAAAGATCATTCACTCACTACATCCACAAATCTTGTCTGTGGTCTCCCATGTTTCCTTCTGCCTGGCACCTCCACATTCAAGATTCCATGTCCAGTATATCCACTATCCCTCCTCTGCACATGTCCAAACAATCTCAGACTTGCCTCGCTAACTTTGTCTCCAAATAGCCTGACCCGAGCTGTCCCTCTGATGTACTCATTTCTAATCTTGTCCATCCTTGTCACTCCCAGTGAAAATCTTCAACTCGGTCACCTCCAGCTTTGCAGGTTTCACTTCCACCTTGTAAACCTTCCCTTTCACTCTTGCTGTGATCCTGCTAACAGA